TCCCCAGCGGCCCAGTGGAACCCTCGCCCGCCCCGTGCCCCCTTCCGCTTCCGTTTCGGCCCCCAGGGAGTTTTGTTCGGATCTCTTGTAGTTTTTTGGGGCGTTTGTTGGGAGCCTCATGGGAGCATGTTGGAAGTCTTGGAGGCCATCCGCGGGGGAGGGCCTTTGGAGCCTCCTCGAGCTCGCCCTGTCAAGCCCATCTTGCGGCCCTCGTTGGGCCCTCGGTTTCCGATTTCTCGCACCCTATATCCCTTCCCCGTCCTCCGCCTTCACCTCTCCCTCCTTCCCCCTCCCTTCTATGCAAGAGCCATGGCACGCGTGCCACTTGTGTGTGTATGTGTGTGTGTGGTGTGTGTGTGTGTGTGTTCCTGGGCCCCTCAAAGAACAGGAGGGGGTTCCCCGAGCCGGCCGCATTCGAGGTGGGCCGACCCGCGTCGGCGCGGCAGCGGTCCCCCCAATTGCGCGGGCGGGTCCGAAGCCCATGCCGGGAAACACCCTGCCTGCCTCCAGGGTGTCCTGGGTGTCTTGGGTTTCGGTGGTTCTGCCATGGAGGGCGTGACGTCCCCACACCAAACAGTGCACCTCCTGGGGTCTCAGGGTTGGGTCTCTTGTGGAAGGCTTCCTGCCGTCGGGCCCCTTCTGTAGCGCCGCCGGCCGCGATCGCTCGAGGTCGGACAGCTCCGCGCGACGTCGGGAGCCGGGGCGCGGGTCGCGACGGCAGGGGCCTGCCGTGGACGACGGGGCGAAGCAGTTCTCCTCGTTCCCCCCTTCGTCGTTTTTAAATATATTATACGTTGGGTGAACCTGAGCGTCGTGGTTGTCGCGTCCGTGTGGAAAAGTGAGCGCTGACTTGGGCCACGCGGCCACCAAATTACGCCTGGCGGGTGTAGCGGAAAGCGAGAGAGGCGCTAGAGGCGCCTTCCTCCTCCTCCCCCTCGTCGCCGCCGCCGCCGCCGACGGCGAGGCCGCCGAGCCAGACTCGTCCCCGAGGCGGGAACGCCGAGGCGTTCCCCCCCTCGCCTCAGAAATACCACTAACCCTCGACACACTTGACCGCAAACGTGTGGTGCCAGGGTTCCTTGTCGATGATGCAGGAGGGGAAAAAACACACTGACACAATTAATCGTCGATCCCCCAGGGAATATAGGAACATACCTATACGACCACCCTCTGGGTGATGAGGAGGTTGGGGGGGAGGGGGGCCAGCAATGGGCAACAGTGGTGATTTCACTGGGATGAGCGATGTCGTTATCGGTCTCACGATCGATGGGACCATCGATCCCACTATCGATCTCACTCGATCGATCTCGCTATCGATCTCACTCGATCGATTTCACTGTCGATCTCTCTCTGGATTTTTGCTACCGATCCCACTAACGATCTCCCTATCGATATCACTTGATCTCACAATCGATATCTCTATTCATCTCAGTATCGATCTCACTATCGATCTCACGATCGATCTCACTATCGATCTCACTGTCGATCTCACCACGGGACACCACGGGACAACGACGGGACACCGTACCGTCGGGACACCAGCGGGACACCAGCGGGACACCGGCGGGACACCGCGCGCCACCGGTTGCCGGGCGGAGAACCTTTTGGTCCAGCCGCGGCCCAGCCACGACGGGACACTGGCGGGACACGCAGCTTCGCCTCGCCCGCACGCACACGAAACCGAAATCGATTTCTCGGTGGGGGGGCTCTCCGTTCCACTTCGATCTCACCCCCCAACCTCCGATGGGAAGTGGGGGGGAAGACGAAAGCCAAGAAAATATGGGGAAATTTTGCGAATCCTGTTATTTGTGTGTATTTATTTGTGTGTCCCAGGGCCCCTTCAAACGTGTGGTGCCAGGGTTCCTTGTCGATGATGCGGTTCCGAGTTTGGGCGGCATTGCCTGCCGAGTACTTGCTGGCGCCCCACTCCACTGTCGGTCACCAGAGAACTTCCGAGCCACACCCGCTCAGAGCCAGTGTCGTGCTGCTTCGACATTTTGAAGGGGGGGCGACATTGGAAGGGTGGATGGGGGCGATCTGGATGGGGGGCGCCAACCATTTTAGAGGTCTACTCTCGCGAGGCTTGCAGGATCCGCTCTCGGTGGCGCGCCCACGGGGGAAGTGAGAGGAGGTAGGCTTCCTCAGAAGGCGGTGCGGCTTCTCAGAAGCTCTTCCGCCTTGTGAGAAGCCCTCCGTGGCTTCATAGAAGGCTTAGAAGGCCTCTCAGAAGGCCACAGACCTTCTGAGCCTTCTGCTGAGACTCGCTCCCTCTGCCTCCCCCCTGGGCGCGTCGCCGAAAAGAGAGCTGGTAACCCGTATCCGATGAGCAAGGGTTTGCATGAACGTAAATTTTGAGAAGTCCGCGCGGACCTGAGGAAGTGGTTGTGAACGCCGATGCTTCTTAATGACACAAAAGAATGGTAATGCTCGGTCTGCCTCCCGTACGGCAGGTTCTCGCAGCGTCGACGCGGAGGCAACCCCAGCGCGGGCACTCCAGCCTGAACGCCGCCAGTGGCCCAGAATCGGCCAACGTCGAACGACGTGCGCCACTGGAAGGCCGAACGATCCACGCGGTGTCAGAAACCACGACACGAGCCGTAACGACAAGCATTTGTTCGTCGGTTGTTTCGGCATTTAGCTTGAAAGCCTGCCCCCTGATACATCAAGCATTGGGATCAGGTCCATCCATTTTGGTTTCAATAGTGACTCGATGCTCTGTACCTCCAACGGTTTTCATCTGTCGCTTTATGTGAACGTAAGACGCAGCCTTGGATACACTCTTATGCCCATGCCCCAAGCAGGATCTCTCGGACGGGGCAAGGACGAGGATCAATCCGTTCGAGAGCGTTCTGGAACGCTCTCAGAGCGTTGTGGAACGCTTTGAAAAGGCCGTGGCGCCCGAGACATCCTCCAGAGCCGCCGGATTTCGGAGATTCTCGATGTGTCCTGACCCTTTCCAGAGAGCTGCGCGTTTCGAGGGCGTGGAGGTCGACATTCGGGTGTTGCCGGACGTGCCCCTGGCCCAGAGTGGCTCCAGGGGTCCCAGGGAGGCCTATGTGGCCTCCAGAGTCGGGTCGGGCGAAAGGGGGGGATTGGGAAAGGGGGGGTTACGAAATCTGCTGCATGCAGCTGGTTTCGGCCCGACCGAGGGGCCCATTCCTCGATACATGGGCGCCTCCCGGCGCCGGGAGGCGCCGGGGAAATCAGCTACGCGAGCTGATTCTCAAACCTCCCCTTTGCTATCCCCCCCTTTCGCCCGGCCCGACAGAGGCCACCCCCGTGAGGCCACCCCCCGGGCTCCAACATGGCGCGAAGAGCTGGTGGCACCTCGGGCTCGAGCCACCTCTGGGCGACCTCCGGGCAGCCCAGACCTCCGATGTCTTGATTCGTTTTGTAAGGCCGGGCCCCTGGAGCTCTGCTCCACTTCCAGGGACCGGTCTTTCTTGTCCACGGTTGTTCTCAACCATCTTCTGGTGTTGGGTCTTCGCTTTGAAGAGAGCGCCCCGCGTCACCTCACCACACCTCGCTCCCGCCCTTCTCCTCCCTCCATCCTGGCATGTGCCCTCCGTTTGTCCTCAACATCATCGTCATCGTCATCGCCATCATCCTCATTACTACCACCATCTTCACCACCACCCCCATCATCACCACCACCATCACCACCATCATCTTCATCATCATCATCATACCGACAGCAATTACCACCGTCGTCATCATCACCATCATCGCCATCAGCACCATCAACATCACCATCACCATCAGCAGCAACATTATCACCATCGTCGTCATCAGCATCACTATCATAATCAGCATCAGCATCAGCATCATCAGCGTCATCGTCATTTTTATCGTCATCATTGTCATCAGCATCAGCATCAGCATCAGCATCAGCATCAGCATCATCATCATCATCATCAGCAGCAGCATCATCAGCATCATCAGCATCATCAGCATCATCAGCATCATCAGCATCAGCATCATCATTCCATCCGCAGCATCACCATCACCATTTTGTCATCGTCGTCAGAGTCATCCTCGTCATCAGAGGCACACCCCTCACACATTACGTGGCCCCATGCGAAGCTCCACCGAAGACCCTAGCAGCAGCGCCCGCATGGCCTCAACCCGCCTATACCGGCACACCTCTCACACGTTTCGAGGCCCCACAGGGAGCACCAGCGAAGGCCCCAGTGACAGCGCCCTCGTGGTGTCGCCCCGCCCATTTCGGCACACCACTTACACGTTTCGTGACCCCTCAGGGAGCCCCACCGAAGGCCCCAGCGGCAGCGTCCGCATGGCGTCACCCCGCACATTCGACACACCCATCACACGTTTCGTGGCCCCAGGGGGAGCCCCGCTGAAGGCCCCAGCGACAGCGCCCGAACGGCGCCACCCCGCTAATGTCGACGCACCTCTCACACGCTTCGTGGCCCCACAGGGAGCTCCACCGACGGCCCCCGGCTTTGTGGGCCCATAGGGAGCTCCACCGGTGGCCCCAGCGGCAGCGTCCGTATGGCCTCAACGCGTCCATTTCGGCACACCACTTACACGTTTCGTGGGCCCCTTGAAGGCCCCAGCGGCAGCGTCCGCATGGCGTCAACCCGCCCATGTCGGACACACCCCTCACACGCTTCGTGACCCCACAGGGAGCCCCGCTGAAGGCCCCAGTGGCAGCGCCCGCACGGCATCACCCCGCACATTTCGACACACCCCTCACACGCTTCGTGGGCCCACAGGAAGCTCCACCGAAGGCCCCAGTGGCAGCGCCCGCATGGCGTCACCCCGCCCAATTTCGACACACCCCTCACACGTTGCGTGACCCCACCTTCGTCCCACTTGCCTTGCGGCGCTCACACCTGCACATGGTTGAGCCCTGCGACATGATGATGTTTCAACGGCCCTCGGCCCGGCGAGGGCCCCCAGAGACCACAAACGACGAGAAACACCTATGTTGGATTACGTTGGAGGTCTGGGAGCACGGAGCCAGCGGGCCCCTGAAG